GCATGCAGTGAGATTTCGAAACATTACCGCATATAGTTTTCCAGTTATTGACCAGCAAAGCGGTGGAACGCTTTCTATTTCCACATCAGCAGTCATACAACGTCGGAAACTTGTTTTGTTCATGCTCACCATCCGTCATTCTTCGGTCAAAGAGTTAACGGCATCATAAACTGGTTTTAACAGGCGTTCGTTTGTAATCACTTACAACTGCGTTATCCCCTTTTCATCCGGAGGGAACATAAAGTCTAGCCCCTGTAAGTCTAGACTACTAAAACTTAGTTACCTGGTTGTTGCAAGGTTTACGGTAGGTATTCATGATTACCATATTAGTTCAGTAGGATGCACGGTATTTCGCTTTACTTAGCGATCTGTACGTTTTGTCCGTTCGCAGTGACGTTGAAATACGGTTCACAAAACCCAATGATTACCATATATTCGCAAAACTGAAAGTTTTGAATATACTAGATTCTCATGTTTGTGTTATTAGCTCATGTTAAACAAGTCGATTAAGTCGGTTAAGTTCGCTTCGAGTTTTGTGGCTCATGCGCATCCAATTCAGGCTTCGTTATTCAAACTGCTTTAAGGGATCCATCAGCTGTCCAGATCCTTGCATTATTCTTTTATGCTGATCTCAGTCTCTACATTCTGCGCTTTCTAAAATTTTAGTGAAAGTCTATCAACTGCAATGCGATTATATGCGAAAGTGTATTACCTTTACGAATGGAACGTGTTGTTTGATTACTTCATTACGCGTTTCGGTAATTGATGAACCGGTTCTTAAGCAGTGTTCAGGAGGCGAGTTCGGAGACACCCTCTACATAGACAATATGACGTCTGTATTATCTTTAATCGTTGCATTTAAAAATATCCTTATAAATGAACTGCATTAAAATGGGTTGCAAAGATTTCATGGTTTATGGCACACTGCGGTGGTACGGGCTTCAGGGTCACGATTTCACAGTTATCGTTCAGTGCTGGCAAAAGCTGCACCAGACAACACATCAGTTGTCAAACGAAGTAGCATCATCATAGCATAATTCCAATACGGCAGTCAGCAAGCCACTTCCCACATACAATGGTACATTTTAAAAATTTAATATTAGTGAATCCTAGAGACTTCAGTTATTCAATCCTGAGAAAATGTCAACCGGGGAAAAAGATACCACGAACCTCGCACGGGTTGGACAACCTCGTCAAGCAAGCCTCTTACCGAATAACTACTTAACCAGCAGCATGGGGCAAAAACACACCTTTATTCTCCAAATGTCACGCTGCGGACCACAGAACGGACTGTAGAAATCAACCCCATCTACCGTACAGAAGAGTCTAAACGTTGGTACGGGTTAATTGGCTGATTGACCAATTTGCTTGCGTTTTGCATGAGTAAATCGTGATTTAGTGCATTTTTCAGTTTTGATATCAGATCTTAATGCGCATATACATAATTTTAAATATTGCCATAGAATCTTTACAACAAATTTTACGCAGCAAATCACCTAATGACTGTAAGATTTCGACAGTACATGGTTTGTTGTTGCATCATATATTATCGGTCAGTTTTTAGAAGGTAAGTACCTTTATCCGCAGACATGCCCCTGCCTTCAGAAAAATGAGATACTAATGATATTGATCAATTTGGCTTCTTAAGTTTATAAATGAACTGCTTTCTTTCCTGTTTCTTTCACATAGTACAGAATGATATTTGTCAGCTACCACCATGTATCTGCTTCGTGAATCTAGCGCATAGATGGCGATCCTACAGGGCTCATCGAGGAGTTAAGGATAATCCACGCCAATTACGTAGCCTGCAAAATTGTAACATGACACACCGATACACACTCGATCCGTCTGGAAGGCGATGTACCCTCTGTTTTCTTTTTCATATGACTGCTTTGCCGTGAAAGCCTGCCTTTTCAAGACTACCGCTGTCTGGCATCCGGGTCAAATATCCAGACCATCGTAATTTCGACATTTCGATTTGCAGCAAAAATGGTTCTCGAACGAGAGTAGTTAGCCGAGTTCGAAACCTGTTAAATCTCTTGATATCAATAGTCGTTTATTGCGCCTCACCTTGACTTATAACTTGATCGAATTCTTTTCTGTCGTCTAATCCTCATGGCCGATACTTATAGGGAGGTTGCTTAAGTAGATTTGAAGATGGATGACAACATTATTGCCCAACCAATTAATTTGAAGTATAATCGATTCATTTAATGCGTTCTGTGTGGTGCGCAAA